CTGCAGCAGACCTGGGAGATGGGGTCTGAACTCCTGCGTAGCTCATAAACTCCTGGTACTGCTGGTCTGAGGTCCACGCTTTGCATAGCAAGGGTGTAGAGCAATGGTTCTCAATTATTTTGGTCTCAGCAATTCTTCATAGTCTTAAAAATTACCAAGAGCCACCCAAAGTAATTTTTCTGTTCAGTTAACTAATGGTTTGCTATATTAGAAATTCATACAGAAAAAAAAATTAAGAGCACACAAACTCACAGTGAAAATACCATCACATGCCATGTAGTCTGGAAAATTCTGTCTCACACTTGTGAGAGAATAAGAATGAAAGAGGCAAGCGCTGTTTCAGTGCATTATGAAGTAGTTTTGCTGCTCATTCCATGATCACTCTTTGAAAAAAACTCCTATAGAAGAACTAGCTCTTGGCTCGAGACTGTCTGCCCTAGTTTAGGGTCTTTTAGTTTCAGGAAACACAATGGCTTGAGCAAAATGGGTAGGATTTGAAAAGCTGCTGGGTCATGCCCCAAATTTGAGCAGTCTTTGAAGTTCCAAACCACAAGAAGGGCAAGAAAATGGCAGGGATTTAGGACTGGGGAACAGTGAAGAATTTAGACGGCTTCTCCCCTCTATGTTTCCCACCTTCATTTGCTAATGACTCACTTTCTTGCTCCTCTGTGTACATGGCCTCATAGCTGCTGAATTTATGGTCCTCACAGTTCAAGTGGACTGTACTAAACTAGGCCCACTGTTTACCGATTCCAAGTCCCTTAGAGGTAGGATTTGATTGGCCCAGCTTGGAGGTACGATAAGATTGGTTCAGTAAACAGGTGACTAATCCTAAATCAGCCAGTCACCTGTGGCCAGAGGGGCAGGACAGGGCTATGTGGTGCAGTCATGGCTGCCTTGGGCAACCAGTGTTATGTGAATGGGAGTTGGGGTGGGGAGCAGTGTCATGGAGTGGTCAGTTCTCATGAAGGCAGGATGGGTTTCTTTTTGAGAGTCAACTTCAAAGATTCCCATAACAGTTTGGAAAACTAGGTCTTGCACCTTCTACTGGTTCCATGACTGGGTAAGTCATGAAGCATCTCTCAGAACTTGTTTGGCCAAGAGACAAATAGGAATAACAACACAATTGGGCTAACTTATAGGGTAATTTTAGGAGTGAATTGAGCTAATATATGTGAAAGAACTTTATAGGCTCTGTGCCCAGCATATTGCTACAGCAAGTGTAAGGGATTCATTTTAAAGTATAAAATCTTTGCCCTCAAGGATGTTAGAATGAAACTGGGGAGAAGGTGCTAAAACCCATGGTACTATACAGCAAGCTTCTAAGCATGCACTAACTAAATGCAACAAGAGTCCAGAGGAGACAGACATCAGTGTGGGCAAGCAGGGAAAATAATTTGTCAAATACTTCCTGTGGGCTTAGCATTGTCCCCTGTGGTTAAACACCCCTTGACTCTAACTCAGCAATTCTGCTATAGAGATGTTGCTGGGCCTATTTTGTGGATAACACTAAAGTTTACTAGGAAAGTAACTTGTCCAAGACACATAGTGGATGCTATGGTTGGATTTGGGTTGAGTGTCCCCCAAGACTTTGTCTTGAAATTTAATCTCCTTTGTGAAATATTGAGAAGGTGGTAACTTGATCTGACTACAGAGTTTAGAGATAGGCCTTTGGGAGGTGATTAGCATTAGGTAAGATCATGAGGGTAGAGCTTCATAAGAAGGAGAGACCAGAAGAGAGACATACACATGTGTGCTCTTTGTCTCTTGACGAATGATGCTCTCTGCCAGTTGGAGACTCTGCCAGCACAAAGGCCATCACCAAAGGAGGTCCCTAGACCCTGCACCTCTAGAATCATAAGTCAAAGTTAACTTTTCTCTCTTAAAAAATAAACTAGACTACCTCTGGTATTTTATTACAGTAATAAAAACCTGACTAGTACAGCTGGTGTTCAAACCTATGTCTTCCTGACTTGAAGGTGATGTTCCTTTTACTCTTCTATGTGGCAATAGGAAAATTTTTGGAAGAGTGGGATGCTGGCAGGACTAAAGCATAGATTGGATATGCATGGGCAGAGGAGAGGCTAGCCATGACAGAGCTTAGGGAATGCAGACATGGCTATCCCTTGAGCCTGGGGTAAACCTGATGGAGTAACCACTAAGCTGCCATTGGGTAAGTGGATTGTAGGTAGATGGGTAAATGGGTTGTAGGTGACAATGCAAGAATGTGTGAGTGACCCTCATCCCTTTTGTCTAAGTGGTCTGGCAATCTGGAGGTGGAGCCCACAGATTGGCTGGGGCAATATGGAGGCAGAGCCCCAGCTGGTGGGTTCTTTAAGCTCTTTAGGGCACAGTGGATGAGATCCTGGATTAGGGGATGGAACAGAGAGGAAATGCCAAGCCCATGATGGCCTTTGAAGGAAGAAACAATAAAATTTGAATGCAGAGAATGAAGAAGACCAAAGATGATTGACTGACTGCCTGCCTGCCTGACGGACTCATGTATTTAGCAAATGTTTCAGGGCTGTTTATGTGGCTGGCCAGCTCTGTGCCTGGTTCTGAAAATATTGGTGACCCAAAGAGATGGCTCTTCACTTCACTTGGGGTAGACAGAAAATCAATAAGTAAAGCAACACATGTGTGATAGAATGGCAGACAATGCTAAGTGCTGTGAGGAGACAGACATAAAGCAGGGTTGAGGAAAGAGAATGAAGGAGAGGGTGTGAGTGGGTAAGAGGGCTTCTAGGGGGAGCTTCTCAGGGGAAGCAACAGTGGCCCAGGACAAGTTGTATTTGAGTAACCTCAGGAAAAATCCTTTGCCCATCCCCTCAAAGGCCCTATGTCCGTGATCCATACAGTTGGGGAAACTGAGGCACAAGGACTGTGGAAGCACACATCTATCATGCTGGCCACCCCCGTGGTGGGTAAATGAATGCAAGCCTGGCTTTCTGTGGGCCACTGCTGCCTGCTGTCCCTGCACCCCGATTCCCGGTGCTTCAGTCCGTCGAGGTGCTCCCTCCTCTTCTCCCTGGAGGTATTTCTAATCCCATGGAGCCCCTTCCACATCAGCTGTGGCCTCGTCATTCTGCTTGACTTTATTTCACCTGATCAGAGGTGGCAGTGACAGGGCTACAGGCTGCATATGTCAAGCTGTCCCTAGCTTCACCAAGGAGGCTGAGGACAGCTGAGGGCGACTACCCTTGGCTTTGTGGGTATGGGGGCCTGTTAGAGCCTCAGGGTGACTGCCAGAGCCTCCCGCTCCCTCTTGGGGACAACTCTGAGTCATGAGGGCAAGGGGAGGGCTGCTGGCTGTCAGTGTGCCGGGTGGGGGTGGGGAGCGGCCAGAGGAGGGAGGTGGAATTCGTGATTTGTTTTGGAGAGGAGCTGAGGCAGTGAGTGGCAGAGGTGGCAGCTTGGCAGGTGGGCTTGATTGTGGAGTGTGTGCTTTGTGATGTGAGTGCTGCAGGCCTTTCCTTTGTGAAGTCTCCTTTGAGGTGTGTGCACTTGAGAGAGAGAGAGAGAGAGAGAGAGAGAGAGAGAGAGAG